AGTGCGATGACACTGAGACACAGTGTAATTGCAGGACTCAACAACAGAATGGGAGAGAGCTCAACGTGTGGCTTGCCATTTTAGATGGCGTTCATTTGCATTTTGTTCCATAACATTCCACACAGATCCTGTGCTACAACCTCATACTGAACCATGAATGGGTTTACTCAGCCTTAAACTGAGAAAGTACATTAGTTCATCTAGTTCAGTATTGTTTACACTGACTGGAGTTTCTGACAGAAGACTTCCCCCCAGGCCTACCTTGAGATGTTGGAGGCTGAACATGGGACCTTTTATGTAAAAACTGTGTGCTCCAAGAGGGCAGGGAAGTGAGCACAGTGTTGTACATTTACATGTTGTTGTTTTTACTAGGATTTACATGCCTGCTTGCTCTGCTTGACAACTCCTCTACCATCCCCCCCCCACAGTAACCCATAGGGCATGTTGCCACCATCTATGTGCATATGTGCTTCTGTTGCCCCATGATTCATCAGTGAAAATGGTAGAAAAGAACTGCATGCTGGAATGTCTTCTCAAATTTTGTCCATGAAAACTACAGTGTGAAAACTCCTGCAATTTTCTGGGTTAACAGTTTTTTCCCCCCTCCCCTGGAGGCAAGTAGCACTGAAATGTACATTAGATTTCCTCTAGATTCCTAGAAGTGGCTTTCATGTTGTGTGGAAGATCACAAAAAGCATGGAAATTATTAGGCAAGTGAATGTGGGGAAAATGTTCTGAATGCAGTATTATGTGTAAAATGGAGAAGGGCTTGTATCATATATTCTAAGCCTCTTTTGTTCGGTATGTTACATGCTGTTACCAAGCGGAGGGGTGGGGCATTACATTGAACTTTCTGCTGAACACTGTCAATGCCCATGTCCCATCTGAGATACACCAAGAAAGATAGAAATAGCTATGCCAATGAAAGCAGTAGTAGCATAAGGTATCATAATGTCTCTCTTTGCTACTCTCTACTTAGTTACTAGTTGAAAAGATATTATACTAGTTCCTCCCCCCCACAAGACATCCTCACCCCCAAAAGCAGCCAAGCTAGTGTCTCCGGAACATCACAAGTAGGATGCCAGTTGCGTCAAGCACTTGCTAAGGTATTCTGCTTCTAAACATGGATGTTCCATTTAGCTATATTGCCTCATATGTCCTGTCTATGCTATAACTAACACCTTTGTACCAAATTGCTTTGAGGGGTTCCAAGACAAGCATTTTAAGAAGACTCTTTCCTAGCCATTGAGCCATGTGCAGCTACTGCACCTGAAGCCTGCAGAAGGTCTACTGGTGTCTCGAGCTTTCGACAAATGAACATTTTCCCAGCTAAGAATGTTTAGAAGCCTTAAGAGTCTCTGAATTCAATGGCAATTCATTTATGTAGTGATGGTTCCAAAACATTTTCACTTAAAAAGACACAATAAAGAGGTGTCAGAACCTCTTTTTTCTCTCTGCAGCAAAGATAGTTGTTGTCGTTTTTTGCCATGCAAGACAAGTTGCGTGCAAGAGATCTGTGTTTTATCACAGCCAAGGCTAATTCTCATTGCTTTATACTGATTGTCCATTTGCCTCAAAAGCCTTTGGGGGCAGGAATGGAGGACGGGGGAATCACAGAATCTTAGAATTGGAAGGGACCCCTAGGGTCATCTAGTCCAATCCTCTGCAATGCAGGAATCTCAGTTAAAGCATACACGAGAGGTGGCCATCCAACCAGCGCTAAAAAATTTCCAAGGAAGGAGAGTCCACCAACTCGCTAGGGAGCCTGTTCCACTACTGAACAGCTCTTACAGTCAGAAAGTTTTTACAGATTTTTAGCTGAAATCAAAACTGTGGCGACCAGTTAAAACTCTGCAGGTATGTCAAAGCTGCTTTTGTGCTTTTGAACAAACAAACATTTTAATCAAGGAATGAAAGGAATTCGTATTGAAAATGGAAACCTTGATTTCCGACTCTTTTATGCATTCCCGAGCAGAGAAATGGCCCCCAAACATAACTATTACCCTTGTGCAACAATGGCTTGTCATTCTTTCCTAACTAGCTTAAGAGAAAAGGACTCCAGCTCATTGCCATAGCAAGTAAGTGTAGGTGCAATGTACTGAGTGCTCAATCATCACATGTGAGTAATCACACGCCTCCTTTTAAGATACAGTAGCTTTCTGCAGGCTCAGAGGTGGAAAGTTGGACACTTCCTTCAATATTTTACAAATGATACACAGGGGACAGAAAACTGGCCCCACACATGAGACCAGCTTTGCTCAGCTGCTGTAATCAACATGAGAGGAGAGGGAGGGACAAACTTGAAAGCTCCTTCCCAACACTGTGAGCCCCCTCTGCAGTGACCAAAAGTTGAGCAGGACCATCCAGAGAGATGAAACCTGTGCCTGTCAGTTGTCATGCAATCCAGAACCCAGTCACACAGGTTTCCAGGTCACGCGAGCATTGCCTTTGTATGGCTCTGCTTCCACAAACCTAGCTTCCTTTTATCGTTCAGAATCTTGCCATGGAAATCAATAAAGCTTTGCGCAACGCGCCAAACCAAAAGAAAAACCTGAAGCGCACGAGCTAAGCAGTGTAGGATCAGCGCTCAGATTAGGACAGCTAAGTGATGTTGAAAAGGGAAGCTTGCTGTTTCTACGAAAGTCACAGAACCATCCTTTCATGTCCCCAGTTAATAATTTAATACCGGTAAGCATCCCTAGAGCAATCTGCAAGTTGTTTTTTTACGAAGCGAAATATCTACGTGGGACAAAGAGCTTGATCTGGAATCCAGGTAAGTCCCTGCCATGCTCGGTGCTTTAATAACTCACTCCAGTTACATGAGAAGCAGCAGCCTTAGCATCTAAGGGCTTGTTGTTTTCTTCTCTTTTTGTTGTGTCTCTCAACATCCAGAAGATGAACAGAATCAAAGCTGTGGGAGAAGAGCTCATTGCGATGGGCCACCCTGCTGATCTACTAAAATAATAAGTTATCAAGTGTTTTATCTCTGTGGCAGCACCATCGGGTTTTATTATTGTATCTTGTTTTACCAGCAAGCATAATTGCATATGACAGTGGCTCGCCACAGACCACAATAACAGACTTCCCCCCCTTTTTTCTCTTTTGGGTGTTATTCTTCTTCTGAAGATCTGGGAAGGTGGTGAAGCTGATCACTGGAGGAGCATTTCCTCCCAAACCAGTTTGCAGCATTTATAAGTCTAGGGACATCTCTGGTTGATGGTGTTGTGTATAAATTTTAATAATATGTTTCATTCCCGTCCCAAGAAGGCAAATATAATTGCATCTTTCCCTCAGATCTAGAATTGCAAGATTTTTTTTCAGGGAAGGATCTACAGCCTTTGAATTTGGTTGAGAGGCAATTGTAACATTTGAGGATGTCGCTATAAAAAAACAAAAAAACAAAACACATTATGTGTGAACATCGGTCTAATGTGGTATATTGGTTAAGAGCATGAGTTTTGAGTTGGTAGTCCTCAGTTTAACTCTCAGTAAAGGCCTGAATACCCTGTAGGCATTAGACAAGCCATAATATATCCCAGACATGCACATGTTATGTGTGTTTAGAGCACCACACATGGAAAAAGAATTGACAGTCAAACCTTATTTCCCACTGTAAGATTTTTAGTCTAAATCACAGGCACTGAGCAACATCTAAACAACCCTTGCTTAGCACTGTCTGAATAGGATACTGCCTCTTGAAACCCAAAAGACCCAATAGAGGCTGGACCATCCGCTATGCTGAGGTATGGGACATTATTATATAAGAACCAATTATTGGAAATGAAAACTCTGCCACAGTGGGAAGTTATGCTAGTGTTCAGAAATTACTAAACACTTGACCTTTCCCATTTGCTCATTCTACTTTATATCACATATCTTAAAGCTTTATTATAGTCATCCGACACTGCTGAAATGTGAAAAAAGCTTCATAGTAAACAGAGAAAATGATATTTGCACAGTGCAGATGCTTATGGGATTCAACCACAAGAATTCCATGAAATATAGACACATGTACACTTGGATTGAAGGAGCGAGAGCCTCAGCTGCTTTTTCCACATCATTTATACACAAATACATAAAGGTAGAGAAAAAGATACAAAGACCAAAAGAATGCAGACTGCCCTTTGACTGGAATGATTCTATTCAGGAGGCAGACACTTTGCTTGTTTACATTCTTTTAATTCAGAAATCTGATTGAGCATTGTCATGTTTGGGTGATGTGAGCTGCACGAACCTCTGAGCTATAGTGCATAGCATGGATTAATGTACTTCCTTTGCATATTTTGGATATAAGGGCAAGAAAAATATAAATCTGAGTTTCCATGTCCGAAAAGGTCATAGGTGCTCACCCTTTATTTATTTCAAACATGTAGATTTTGTCTTCCCACATTTGCTCAAGGTGGTTCAATCATGGCCTTGTAAGAGTAAAAGTAAAAAGCCCTCCCTCCTGCTACCCAAAACCCTTTGTAGAGGGATATACCATATAGCAAGGAAGAGGAAAGAGGATTGCTGGACTACAATCCCCATCATCCTTGACCATCACCCATGAGTCCAGCAACAGCTGGAGGGCCACCGGTGCCCCACCCTTAGTTAAACTTGCTCCCTTCCCCCAGCAACTGAGTCTGTTCCAGACACAGGGAGAACCTTGGCCCAAGCAGGGTCAACACACTCCTCTTGAGCAGAGAAGCCCTCCTTTTATATGTTAGTGTCTATTCCCTTCAAATAGACACCAAATGCACAACCATCAGGAGGCATGGGTGGGGACAGCTGTTATTAATGACGGGACCAGCCAGCACAACCCCATTTCATGTGTTTTCTCAAAACAAACCACAGTTTATCACTTATTCTGAACAATAGCACTCTCCATCACTGAGTTAGGACCTGCCCTCTGTATTTAACAGGTACAGTGTAAATTGGCCCTAGCAAACAAGAACAACCTGATCGAGAATTCTGTGCACACTTCTTGCATATTACTTAAAAGGTAGTTACGGATCACTTACCCTAGCTTCAGTTCCATAGTTCCCCACACCAGATGATGGGATGTCCTAAAAGCTGTATACCTAGGTGGAAAAAAAGGGGGGAATACATGTTTTAAAACAGCCATTAACAACAACTGCTAAACAAACATATAATGCTCTCAAATAAACAAATCAAGATCAATTAAATCTTTTGCTAGTGTTAATCTTTGAGTCTATATTTATCTGACTGAGGAAAGGCATGGGAGAATGCTTCTTCCTTGATTAGTCAAGACTGAGAAAAGCCAGACGGATTTTGCAAATGAGAAAGGAAAGGTGGATGGCTGCCTGGCTGCCTCTATGGAATAGGATAGCCGAGAGCAGGTGGAAGGCTGCTGATACCCCTCCCAGAAGAGGGAGGGGGCTAATCAGATAATCAATTTTCAATCTTCTGCCTTTCTTTAGAGAGACCATTGTTGGCACCTGTTTACATTGACTGGGTGGAAACAGAGAATCCCTGGGAGGAAAAAACACCACCATCTGTATGCATCTTCGAATTTATTTATGTATTTATTTTAAATGTTGAGATGATTCCTAGAGTTTTCATTAGCACCTGCTGCTTCCATATGAGAAGGTCTTCTCTGATGGTGCAGTGGAGCTGGAGGGAATTTTGGTATAGGAAAGATATATTTGATGCTTTGTCTCTGTTTTTGCAGTTCTTCGCTATTTGCTTAAGTACATTGTTTGGAAATATTTAGTTAATTATGTGGCCGATCTGTGATCGCAATAACAATAAAGAAAAGAAAGTTAATTATGTTGCTCAAAATGTGGAATGATGGTGATTAGTAATCGTACTGTTTGGTTTAAATGTGGATATTAAAAATTGCATTTCTTACATTGCTTCCTTTTTGTTGACATATGTAAAAAGCTTAAGAGATTTCTGCGGGAATCCAAAGTGGTATAAAATAGAACCACAAAATCAGAAGACTGTAGTGTTGGAAGGGACCCAAAGGGTCATCAACAGAGGAAGGGACCTCCACAGGCTGTGGCAGAATCTCCTTCCTTGGAAGTTTTAAAGCAGATATTGGACAGCCATCTATCATGGATATTTTAGTTGTGATTCCTACATTGCAGGGGTTTGAACTAAATGACCTTGGGTTCCCTCCCAACTCCACAATTCTATGATTCTATGAGTGTGTATTTTGCCACTATGATGTGTGTTTTAATCACTTTGGGTAAGAAAAGCATATGGATAGAGAAAAAGGACTAAAAGGAAAAATTGGATTTTCTTTTTCTGGAGATCATTTTATTTTTTTCTACTCTACATCCTCAAAGAAGAGATGTCTAGAGAACAGGGCACAGGGCAATTCAGAATGGGCGAGCCTGTGGAAACCACTTTGCTCAATTACAAAAACAGTATGTTGTCTTTAAATGAGGCCCAATTTTGAATTGGATACATGAAAGACTTAGGTCACTGTTGACCTAACAGGTAGCTTAGTTTATTGTATTTTTTTAAAAAAAAACTTTGAAAAGGGCATCCACATTCTGCATATAATTCTGCAGGGATAGACAAGAGATAACAGGAAAGAACAAAGTTACAATATGCACTTCATTTCAAAAGAGAGATGATTTAGTTTGTAGCACACATCACGCAGAAAGCTACTTCTGCCAAAAGCTTGGACATCTGCAGCTTACAAATAGCTGCTTTTCAGATATGTAAAGATTAAACTGTCATTATTCTGCTCAAGAAATCGCTGTCTGCAGCCCTTTTTGGATTATTTAGGTAAGCAGCATGATGGCCTCTATGGAAAGGGAAAGAAAATGATAGTGTCCTGTTTTATATTCTTGGAAACGGTAACAGCTCTTCTCCTACAGATAATTTAGATGCACTGTCACACAACACACACACTCAGTTGGTGCAGCTAAGAAGTAAGATGTGAAGCCCTTAGCTCAATAGGCAAGCCAAGGACAACAGCTTGCCTAGGTCTTTCTGAGGCATAGGTAAGAAACATGGGAAGGAAGGGAAGCACAGCACATTGCTCTCCATATTCTATTGGCCTACAGGTTACCATGATCTCTGAACACTGGTGATGTTGGCTGGGGTTGATGGGAGCTGCACTTCAACAACACTGGAGGCTCACAGGCTTCCCAACCCTGCAGTAATTGGATATTACTGGCCTGTGTGGCAAGTCTATTGTGAAGACTGTAAGAAAGCATCAACCGTAGGATGCTACTATGAGGATGTCTGCAATGTACACTTCCAGCACAGGCTATGTTCACTTGAGATGCTGCAAGGTCATTTCCCCTCTGCTGCATTTCCAAGTCTCTTTCTGTGTTCTCAACAGTGTGAGAGCAGAGAGGTCTTTTGCCTGATTATTTCTTCCCCGGCGCCAAACTCCAAGCTGATGACACTTTCACCACCATCTGCACATGTGCAAAAGCTGCCCGAATTGTTCACACCACAATGAAATGACAGTTTGCATTTTTGAATCGCATTGAATCTGATTTGAGGGAAAGTTCATGAAAGAGGAAAGGAGTACAGTATTTCTCTAAAAGCAGCAGGATACAGATGAGTTGTGCCTCATGTCATATGAACCCGGCTCAAGAAACCACCCGTGGGAGCAGGCTGGAGCTGCAGTAAATGGTAATATGAACACACCCGCATTAATCTGCATGGCAATGAAAAAGCTGTCTGTTCCGTTTACATAATTTGGGCCACTATCTGATAATAGAAAGCGGAAGGCAAAATGCTGGCATTTTCATTCTAAAATGATGAAATGTAATGCAGTAATCATGAGGGGTGGGGAAAATCTCCCAGGAATGTACTGCATTTGTATAAAAGGGCAACATGTTTTTTCCCCTTCCCACAGGAACTGAATAGAAGATTCCAGTTGACTTTTTGAACAAAGAACAACCATCAAATTAAGAACAACCATCTCTATTAAACTGTAAATAGGAAGAAGTAATTGATAGGGCATTTAGTTCACTGATCCTACACACTGATATAATAGTAATTAGAAAACCCAGCAACTTCAGCAGTAGAAAAGAACAAGGAAACCCAACCAAGAAGTTCAAAGGAAGGATTTTAGAGGCTTTGAAGAAAATACATAGGTTCGATGGACTTGAGAGGATACATTCCAAAGAGCTGTGAAGTGAAACAGTGTGTGAAACCCCCTAATGTTGTAATTTGCACTTGCAGTTTGAACAGAGCTTAGTTTGATCAGAGGCTCAACTGGGCTTAGCTCTACAACCAGCCCTCAGTATCAGGATGCAAGCCTGGCACCTTGAAACTATAAGAGAGTGACTCTGACCATGTGCAAAGTGCCCCGCTCTCTCCAGCAAATAACTCCAAGCATCTCCATTGATTTAGAATTAGGGATAAGGCTTTCCAGGAAAACCACAGGTTCTTTGGGGAAGCTTTTTCTCAACATTTATTTATTGCAACTATATTCCGCTTTAACTTTGGGAAGTGCAGTACTGAAGTTGCCAGTTTTTCCCCCACTGGTCACTATGAGACGGTGTTTTCAATATCAGCAGGTGATAATGTTTCCATGCTGTGAAATCTTCACCTACTGATATATGCTCACAGAGTTTCTTAACAGCACAAGGCAAAGTCACGCCATGTTGCTTTCTGGTCAGTTGGCAACCTCCCACACAGGCACCAACCAGGCAGAAACCTGCTTAGCTCTTGCTGTGAAACAGCTGCCAAATGGCTTCAAACCATTTGTGTGTGCGCGCCTATACCAGGGAATTCTCAAAACTAAATGGCGCATGTTGTGATATCTAAGCAGAAATTAGCCGGAATAAAGAAACCATCTTATGTCACTCAAAGGCTTCCGGTCAGGAATCAGATAGCTCATTTAGGTAAATATGATGAATCCACTTGACAACTAATGCTGCAATCCTATACCCGCTTATCTCGAAGCCCTTGAACTCATTAAAAATTACTTATGAATAGAAATGTATAGGACTGTGCTGTAAGCAACCATTTATGACTTATGTGATTATCTAATTCCTTTCAGTTCGGAGGGGAGGAGTCACACGGCACATTACAGCACCTTCCTTCACTTTCTTCATTGGGATGGAACAGCCAGGGACAAAGAGCAAAAGTTTGTTTGGGCTATAGTGCCTCTCTGGATTTCTGCCAGATTTTGATTTGAAAAGGGAGGATTTTGGCTCGCTCTCCTAGCCTCAACATTTCCAAAGGATGCCACTTTTTTTGACATCTGCACTATTTCCTGACAGCTGTGGTGTGCCTTTAACAGCTGCAGGATAGAAATTCAGTAGGTTCATCTTCTCCTATCCTGGCATCATGATGCCAAACACAAGCTGCACCTGTTGAATTTCTGCCCATGGCCCATCTTTGTGATATTGCAAGCAGAAAACCTCTGTCAGGGAACAGTAGCAACCTATAAACTCACAGTCTCTTCCCTCAGCAACTGACTCTAGGTATGACAACAGGATTTTCTGTTGGCCCAGTACACTATATGTGGATGTACGTATATCAACTTAGCCTAGACTACCTCACAGGGCTGTTACAAAGATAAATAGTGGGTGATGTACACAACCTTGAGTTCCTGGGTATAAATGCTAGATATAAATATATATCACAGATTATTCAAGGAAAAAGAAACCACCATATACCTTGCTTTAAAGGCAACATTTCATAGTCCTGCTGTTTACAGAACCCACCAATAAGTTTGCCAACGCGGAGAAAGAAGAATAATCAAGTATTTCACAAATTTGGTGTCTGAACTATGAACTACGTAGCCTAGCCTACCAGACGGGGCTGCTGCAAAGATGAAATGGGGGACAATATACTCAGCCTTGAACTCCTGGGAGGTAAAGCAAGATAAAAATAAACAACAAGAAGTAACAAAATATTTACACATGTGCAGTTTCACAACTCTGAGCAAAACTCACTTACACACATGCAGTGGTACCTCAGGTTACATACTCTTCAGGTTACATACGCTTCAGTTACAGACTCCGCTAACCCAGAAATATTACCTCGGGTTAAGAACTTTGCTTCAGGATGAGAACAGAAATCGTGGAGCAGCTGCAGGAGGCCCCATTAGCTAAAGTGGTGCTTAAGGTTAAGAACA